TTTGCTAACCTGTGGAAGTGTTTTCCAGTCCAGTCCAGTCCGATGGGGCGCAAGACTGAAACTCTTTCTGGAAGTAGAATCCCCGTATTTCTCCAAGGAAGTGTCTGGTGGTTTCGAACTGCTGACCTTGTAATTGGCAGTCCAACGCATGCATAACCACTACGCCACGGGGGCTCCTCCTGAAGACCTCCTATACATCAGTGGGCAGAACTTGCCACATACGGAGCCATGGGCTGGAGCTCAGGGTGCGTGAGGAGATGGGAGGCAACAGTAGGGCTGATGGCTGAGCCTCTTCTGAGTTGGGGAGACTGCCAGCAGGGCACCTGCTGTGATAAACCCAGGGGAGACTGTCCCTGGGGATCCTTGGGAAGCCATCTTGTACATCCTTCCCCTAAACATGGGCCACACATGACCATGTCATCGTCTCCCTGAGGCTGGCCCTGCCCTCCCGGCCCACTGCTGCCCCCAGTGTGTGGCTCCCCTCCAGAGACAGAGCCCTGCACTTGGGGGGTTGCACTCCACTCGGTGTGGGCTGGGGGGTAGGTAGAAGCTGCCCCCAGGAAACTGGATCTGGACTGGCACTGGGAGCCTGGTCTCCCAGCCCCAGGCCAGTGGGTAGCTCCCTCCAGGGCAGGCAGCGGGGAGGGGACACAGCACCAGCACCTGCCCCTCCACCTTCTGCAGCAGACAGCTTCTGATGGGAAAATAGCGGCTTAGCCGGACAGCTGGATTCTGGAAGAGTCTCCTCACACACCTTTTGTCCAAAATCTTTTGTCAGCCCCAACCTTCCAGGTGCTGTTCAGGTCTCCTTTGTTCTAACCCCCTACCCCTGCCCACCACTTCCTGAGCCAGGAGCGGGGCGGGGCCATCTGCCATGTGTTTAATGAGAGAGGGAGGGGGCTGGCCAGAGGGCTTGGGATGGAGTAATCGGTCACCGCTAATTATTAAGCCCAGGAGAGAAAAACACACCCTTTCTAGAGGGTGGTGAGGTCAGGCTGCAGTTGGGCCCAGCAGAGACATAGTCAGTGGGCTGGGACCAAGCAGGAACCTCCACCTACCTTGGCCTCCCAGACCTGCCTCTCCTCTGTCCCACCCCAACCCCAGCCCCAAACCCCACCCACCCTCCCTTCCCTGGCAGACAGTGGATCTTGGGACCATAGCCCCCTGGGATGCTGACGCACAGCAGGGATGGGGGTGGGCGGGGCGCAGATGTGCACCAAAATGAGCGCCAAAATGTTCGAAGAGCTGGCCCGCTCCTGGCCCCCAAAACGCCCGCCCCAGCATGGCTGGGACAGTGGTGAGCATGCCTGCCCCCAAGGCACCCAGCCGTGTGTCAGTCAGTCCGCACACACGGCAGCCCGTTACAGAGAAGGGCTGTGTGTCCCACAGGGCTTTCTTGACTAGTCATGACCGCAGAGCTAACCAGGCATTTCTCGTGCTGTGCCGCCGAGTGACTTTGAGCCAAACTGTCCGTGGACCTGTCCTGGTTTGTGTCCCTCCAGAAGCGGACCTTGGTGGTGTAGTGGGTAACACGTTAAGCTATGGGGCCCACGGTCAGCAGTTCAAAGCCCCCAGCCATCCCCTGAGGAGGCCTCTACTCCCATGAAGACCGAGTCTCAGAAGCCCAGAGGCAGTTCTGCCCCGTGGAGCCGGAAACTTCCCAATGGCAGGGAGGCTGGTTTGGGTTTGAGACCCTGACACCAGGCGCGGGCAGAGGCCACGCTGGGAAGCACTGAGCAGGGAGGGCAACTAGTGTCGTGTGCTGACGGGCGGGCAGGCGGAGTCCCAGGGGGCCTCTCAGAGATGGCTCTCCTGAGGGCAACTGTAAAGGCGGAACTGAGGGACAGGGAGGAAGACGGACATACTGACAGGACAAGGGAGAGCAGAAGCAGAAGTAGCTTTATTAGGGGTGAGGGGAGCTCCGGACGAGGTTCAGTGACCTAGGCCCACAGGTCAGGGAAGTGGTGCTCAGCAGCTGGGGGAGAGGGTTTTTAAAGGGGTGGTGAGGAATGTATGGCAATGAGCATATGGGGTCTGGAAACTGGGAGAATTGCTTGTGGACTCCTGGAGGCTCTCTTTGAACCTGGAACGTCAGGTTTCACCCGTTAGGCTGCTGCTGACCTTTGGGACCTGCAGGGAAGCACGTGCAGGGCCCGGACCTGCTTCAGCTTAGTCCAAACGGGGGCCGCCTAGTTCAGACCCAGCCCCAACAGCAACGATCCCAGTGTGTGTGTGCCCTGACTCCTGTCCACCCTGGGACATGAACCCCCAACACGTACAGCCACAGCCAGGGCAGGAGGCGGCAGGCGCCTCTACAGACAGCTCAGAGGACTCCCATCTGTGACCTGTGACCTTAATGAGTGCCCGCCTCTCTGCCCCTCACTTTTCTCACTGTAAAATGGAACCTTGCTGGGAAGGGCATTTCAGCCTGTCTTGCAGGGGGAATCAGGAATACCCAGCAACAGTGTGGAAAGTTAGCTGCAGCCCCAGCACTGCTGTAGGACACACATCCCCAAACTCAGCGGCTTCCAACACCGAGGGCTCATATGCCTGGGGGGTGGGGGTGGGGGTCCGGTGATGCTTGGCACTGTGTCCCCAGTCCTCTCCTTGAGGTGACTGGGAACCTGGGCAGAGCCGGCACTAGCCAGTGCCCCTCACTTCATCCAGTGGGCCAGTCACGTGGCCACATTCAAAGTCAAGGGAACAGATGAGGAAGCTGTTTTGCTGCTTGTGGGGGGGACTGCCCAAGTGCAGGACAGAGGGTGTGCACAAAGGGAGGTTGGAATGTGTGTGTGTGTGTACACAAAAGCCTTTTGTAAACTGCAAGGTGGTGGCAGTGGGGAGGCCCTGTGACCCCTCCCAGACTGTATATTCCCGGTTTGGATGTGACATGGCCTTTACTGAAGTCTCTGAGTGTGTGTTAGTGTGCTAGACAGTGTTCTCTAGAGAGATAAAACCAACTTGCTGATAATATATTTATTTATAAAGATAATTAGATATATAACAAGAAATGAACTGTTAAATCATATACAGAAAAATATATAATACAAGAAATAAACAGTTAAATTAGAAAGCACTACAAATGGCTCAGTGCAACTCACGTCCGTGAGAGAAAGTTGAGAGACTAGCAGTCCTTCAAGTCTAGTCTGCTGCCAGATCTTCCTCTATCTGTAGAGAGAGCTAGGCTATGTCAGCACAGCAGCCAATCACAAGGCAGGTCACCAACCGCCAGTCCCCAGCTCCAGAGATGTCTTAAAGGGACCTCAACTTACAGCGACACAGTCCACAGGCTAGGCGTCCCACAGGCAGTGTAGCCTTTAAATTGAGGCACAGAACAAGCAAGGCAGCCGCACACTGGTCCGATGATCACAGAGCGAGAGACAAGAAAGGCAAGGCTCACCAAGCCATTTATCTCTCTGCCCTTCAGTTAATCCCACTTGTGTTTATCAGCCAGGCTGGCACAATAAACTATCTCAGTTACTCTGGGAAAACAAGAGAAACAAATCCATAGAAACTCATATGTGTATAAGAGAGAGTTTTATATAAAGGGTAATTGTACATTAAGAAAGCATCCCAACTCAGTCCAGTCCAAGCCCATAAGTCCGATATTAGCCCATATGTCCAATACCAATCTGTAAAGTCCTCTTCAGACTCAAAATACAGTGATGTTGAACGCAGGACAATCACAGGCCAGTGGGTGGCAAGTCTTGTGGATCCAGTGGCAGTAGAAGCATCTCAGCGCTGGCAGGGGTCTCCATGTGGTTCCTCCAGTTCCCAGGGCACAGGGTCTGTCAGCGTAGTGCCATGTGTCTTGTCAGTAGAGCGTCTCTCCAGAGTGAGTGCTGTCAGTAGTGAGTCTCCAAGGGAGTGAGCAGAGGTAGAGTCTGTCTCCTGCCTCCAAGGAGGAAATCCAGGAATTCCCAGCATTCTCAGGAGGCCACGCCCACACAGAGGCCTCATTGGCTATGATCCCACTGACAGACTAGACTCCACCCCTTCACTCTGAAGCCTATCAAGTCCCAAATTGACACCAGATGATATAATGACCCCAAGTGACCTAGTTTGGAGGGAACGTTCACTAGGGAGTGCTGGTTTGGCAGCCCCGGAGCTGTGCCTACACAAGGGTGCCTGGGCCAGAGGGCAGGAAGGAGGCAGAGCAGGAGAGCCGGAGCCCAGGAGCTGCCCCCGACCCTTCACTCCTCGGGTCAGCCCTGAGCCTCCTGCTCCCAGGAAAACATGGAACTCTCATCAAAAGCAGATTAATAAATAAAAGTCTGGCAAATGAAGGTTTAGCTTCGGGCTATGCAAGGGTCGAAAATCCTAGATTTTCATCAAATGCACTCTTTTGAAAGCCAGCCTCTCCTTTCTCCTGCCTCTGACAGCCACCTCCCTGTCCCCCAGTCTCCGCCCCTGGCCCCACTCTGCTGGCCAGCCATGGGCTCTGCCCAGGACGCTGCTTTACCGCACTGGCGGACGGACCCAGACTGCGCTTTCTACAAACAGAACAAGTCTGTCAGCGCCATTTCCCCCACACCATGCGCTCCTCTCCTGCCCTGTGCCCCATGTGGTCATCCTCACAATGTCCCAAATGCTTGTTCCACACTGAAGGGTGCAAAGGCCTTGCCTGCCACCTGGGGCTGGCTGAATTGTAACATTCCCTGCATTGTCGTGGGCAACCAGGGGCTACTGTACTTCCAAAGGACGCCGGTGCAGAACATTTGCAAACGGAGCCACGATTTCAAAGATCCTTTTCTCCCCCAAACAAAATGCAGCACAAAAATCAACAGTTAACAAAACAGGTGGAAGCGCGCGGCCATGGGGCAGGGCCGCCCTCGTGCTCCCCACCCACCCGGGAAGCAGAGGGGCAAGTGTCCCGGGGCGCATGGGCCGGCTCCCCCACCCCCACCCCCACCGGGCCCTGGTCCAGCCTCAGCCCTGGCACAGCCATCCACATCTCCCGCACCCGTGAGGTTTCAAAGGCTGCTAATCTCTCCTCGCAGGCCGATGCCAAAATGGTGTGTGACGTGGTGAGTCGGATGGAAGACACTGAGCCCTTCTCCCCAGAGCTGCTGTCCGCCATGATGCGACTGTGGGGCGACTCAGGAATCCAGGAGTGCTTCAACCGCTCTCGGGAGTATCAGCTCAACGACTCTGCCAAATAGTGAGTGCCCCTGCAGGAGGGGCGGGGCGCGGGCACGGGACTTGCCCAAGCCCCACCTGCAGGGTGGCCGGTGGCGGGAAGGTCAGGAGGAGCATCATCTCTGCCTGCCCTCAGGGCAGGGGAGAGCCAGGAAGCCAGAGGGCACAGGCCTTGACCTACGCAGGGCCTGGCATTTCGGAAGGAAGGTCTTTGTGTAGTGGCATGTTGCTTTGGACTACAGTTTAGAGGGAAAATGTAGTAGAGTGCCATTTTCTTTCATTTAGAGGCAATTAACTTTACATCCTTCCCTCTTTAAACTTTTAAACAAGGGATAGACTCTGTTTTTGACCGTGTTATTGGCACACACTCCACATATACAATTCGATAGTTTAGTCGCCTAAGAAGGGTTGTATAATCAGCACCTCAATTTTTGAACATTTTCTTCTTCCTTGTACTCATTGTTAGTACCTCTCCGTTCCCCTGCCAATCTCCCCTGCTGTACCCCAAGGAACTATTCATCCAGTTACTGCCTCTGGGTTTCCTAGACCCCAAAACAGACACGCACACACACACTCACACACTAACAATAACCAAGGAAAACCTCAATCAAAAAGAAAATTTAAAGTATTAAAAACTAAAACAATTTTAAGTGGGTCAAAAGGGAGGTCAGTGATAAGGCATTTAATTTTAATCTAACTGCACCTGCCAGCATCTACTTCCCAATGCCCTCTGCCCAATAGCACGGCAGTTCACAGGGATATGCTCATAACTCTACTCAATATAGCTAATCAAATGTATCCTTTGATTCTGTTAGGATCAAAGGAGAGGGAGGGATGGAGGGAGCGGAGCCGTGGGCGGCAGCGTGGAGGGGCAGGGAATGGAGTAGGCTGGGGAATGGCAGAGAACGTGGCCACCAGGGCCCTTCAGTGGTGGGACATCAGGTCACAGGACAGCCTGCCACAGCTCGGACACTCCAGTGTCCCTGTGGACATCCTTGCTGGTTTGGGGCCCTGACACCCTAGAGGTGGGGGGTCCCAGGCCCCTAGGTTGGTACGTGTTAGTCAGGACATGTCTTCTGGCAGCAGCGCTGGAAGCACACCAGGCTCTTGAGATCTGACATCCGGTCTGGCCCTAACCCACCATGCTGGGGCGTGTGCTTGGGCAGTGAGTGCTCTGACCCAGCCATCCCCACTGGCGGGCATTTGGAACACTTGCAGACATTTTGATTTCACTGTGAGGGCGGTGTTCTTGACCCCTAGTGGGTGGAGGCCAGGAACACAGCTAAGCACCCTACAGTAGACAGCCAGCCCCACTCCCGCCCCACTTCCCGCAACAAAGACTTATTTGGCCTCATATGTCAGTTGTTCTGAGACTGAGAGGGTGCTAAACCTTGGGCTGCTAACTACAAGGTCAGCGGTTCAAACACACCAGCTGCTCCTCAGGGAAAAGACGAGGCAGTTCGCCTGGTAAAGATTGACTGCCTCAGAAACCACAGGGTCGCCACGCTTCCGTGAGCAAGTTCGACTCATTGGTAAAGCAAAGCAGGGCTGTCCAGTGGACATTGGGACAAACGGACCAAGTACTGAAGGCCATGGGCATCTGCCCAGGGCACGCACACACCTAGACTGTCCAGAGGCAAAGGATTTAAGTTCCATGATGCTGGTGGTGGCTCCCTGGTTCCCCAGACACACCTGTGGGCCAGTACCCATGCTCCCTGCACAGTCTTCTCCCTGCTCCAAGGCTGGGGGTGGGGGGGCTCGCAGGACCACTGCACATGGCAGGTAGGTGGGCCCTCAGAGCTAGGAGGGGCTCCAGCAGGTCAGAGAACACTGAACAGAGACTCCTCCTTCCCCCTCTCCCTCCCTGCCCCCTGAGGGGACCCTTCCCCTGCCAATAGCACCTTCAAGAGGACTATAAGACTACAGGTGAGTGTACACTGCCCCCCACCCCAAATCCACTATAGAACCATGTATAACACAGAAGGCTATCAGGTGAAGTCAGCTGTCTCCTGTCCAGCCCCCTCTCTGGCCCCGCCCCACTCCTACATGAGCCACGCCCACCCTGTTGTCCTAGTGCAGTGGTTCTCAACCTACCTAATGCAGCGACCCTTTCATATAGTTTCTTGTGTTGTGGTGACCCCCCCAATCATAACATTATTTCCGTTGCTACTTCATCACTGTCATTTTGCTACTGTGATGAATCGGGCAACCCCTGTAAAAGGTCGCGACCCACAGGTTGAGAACAGCTGTCCTAGTGGCTTGCAGCACAATTTGACCCTCCGACTTTTAATAGTGTTTACTCACCACGCAGCCACAGGACGCTCATGTTTCCCTCCCCTCTCCCCAGCCAGGGCTCAACTAGTTATGGGATTATTTTCTCTTACCCACCCGTCACAAAAGGGCCACATAAAATGTACATGGGCGACATCAGCCTCTCTTCTCTCTTCCTTCCAGATTGTCCTCTGCCAGGGCACTTAGGGCGGGAAACGGGGGGGCAGTCTGAAGGAAATGTCTTCTGTGTTGCGTTCTTGTTAGCAGCTAATTCTTCTGAAGACCTCTTGGGATTGATCCCCACTTGTAGCGACAGAGTAGAACTGCCCCACGGGGATTCTTGGCCATAGACCTGGTGGAAGTCCAGGTCTGTCTCTCAGGGAGCACTGGGTGGGTTTGAAGAGTCAACCTTTCGGATAGCGGTTAAAATGCACTTGGCCATTGCCTAGCCAAACGGAAGCACCAGACCCACTGCCATAGAGTCAGTGCCAACTCCTGGTGACCTAACTAGGACTTCCAGGGCTGTGTTAGTCTGGGTACATTCGAGAAACAAATCCACAGAAACCCATGTATAAGAGAGAGTTTTATATAAAGGGTAAGTGTACAAGAAAACATCCCAACCCAGTGCTGCCCAAGCCCACAAGTCTAACATTAACCCATATGTCCAACACCAATCCACAAAGTCCTCCTCCATCTCACAACACACACACTATGATGCCGACTGCAGGAGGAAAGCGTAATCAGTGAACCTGTAAGCATCTCAGCGCTGGCAGGGGTCTCCATGCGGCTGCTCCAGCACCCAGGGCTGCATCAGGGTAGGTCCATGTGGTTTCTCCTCGGGGATGTCTTGCAGGAAGTGAGCCTTGCCAGTTCAAGCAAGGAACTGGCTAAGGCAGCTGCACCCTGGTCTGACCATCACAAAGCAAGAGACCCGGGAACTAGAAAGGGGAGGCTCAATGAGCCATTTATCCCTCCGCCCTTCAATTAACCCCCCATGTTTATCGGCCGGGTTGGCACAATAACCTAACTACCTCAAGGGCTGTAAATGTTGACAAGAGCAGGTGGCTTCATCTATCCCCCAAGCAGCGGCTGATAGCTTTGAACCACTGACCCAATGGGTAGCAAGAGCAGGGCCAGGGCTCCTTAAAACCACAGGAAGCAGTTGCTTTTGTGCTGCCTCTTGACTCCGAGTGTCCAATTCGACCACGTAGAAGTTCCTCTTGGGGCTTTCTCGCAATGTGATCTTTCCAGAGCCCTGGCAGCAGAGCGGTTGAGTTGGGCTTCTAACTGCAAGGCCAGCAGATCTAAACCACCAGCTGCTCTGCAGGGGAAAGATGGGCTATCTACTCCCCTGAAGAGTGACAGTCTCAGCCACCATGCCATCAGATGAGCAGCGGCAGAACCGTGAGCCAGATTGTGGAACGGTGGTAGGCTTCCCACTTTCCTGCAGGAGGCTGGCTTGCAGAGTGGGGGCGCCTGCGGGCCACTCCATTGGAGAAGCAGGGCTGGCTGACCCACAGAAGTGGAGCGGATTGCCTTCAGGCAACTTTGTAACAAGTCCTGAGAAACAGCTCTACCCTGAGCACTTCCCACTGGCATTACAACTTGGTAAACTTCCTTAATAAACCCTTTCATCATAGGAAGAAAAAAAGAAAAAGTACAGTCTCGGGAACGCAGAGGCAGTGCTCGGTCCTGCAGGGTCCTTAGGAGTCAGTGAGTGTGCGGGTTGGGTTTAATCTTTACGGAAGCAGTCCACTAGGGCTTTCTCCCCTAAAGCGCCCCTGGGTGGACGTAAATCTTTGGTCTTTCGGTGAGCACCCATGGTAACAGTTGTATCACCAGGGGGCATAAAATCTTGGCGGTGGTAGGTGCTGTCAAGTCAGTTCCGACACAGAGCGATCTTCCGGACAAGGGAACAAAAAGCGGCCGGGCCTGCTCAGTCTCCACGGTGCCGCCTGGGTTTGAGCCGCATCGAGTGAGCATCTGTCTGTGGAGGGTCTTTCTCTTTATCACGGACCCTCTACTTTACCAAATAGGCTGTTTCTTCTCTAAGGATTGTTCCCTCCTGATAGCATGTCCCAGGTTACGAGGCAGAGTCTCGTGACCGGCCCCCTTCTAAGGAGTACTCCTCTCGTGCTTCTTCCAAGACACACGTGCCCATTCTCCTGACAGCCTGTGGGCGTTCGGGACAGCTCAGGGGTGTCCACTCCATTCCAGCCCCAGGTGTTTGGGCCATGGCCTTGTGTCTTGTCACCCTCAGCTACCTGGACAGCCTGGATCGGATCGGGGCTGCGGACTACCAGCCCACCGAGCAGGACATCCTCCGAACCAGGGTCAAAACCACCGGCATTGTAGAAACCCACTTCACATTCAAGAACCTCCACTTCAGGTATGCCCCCCACAACCTCCACCTCAGCTCCTGCCAGAGTGCCAGTGGCCTGTCTGTGTGTGTTTCCACCCACTGGGGCTGTGGGGGGACCGGAAGGGCAGGCTTGTCCCCAGGTCACTTGTGAGGAAGAGAAGGGTGGCCTCTTTGTGGGAAAGGGTGTGGTCAAGCCCAGACAGCATCTGTGAGACCACAGGTGGAAGGGGATGAGGTCGGCTGGCCTCTTCGCAGGGGGCGTGCGGGGAAACAGAGGCCTGAGGAGGCCATGGGTTTTGCACCCCCATCCCAGCTCCAGCCCAGGCCCTGCAGGAAGGCTGTGTCCTGCTCGGAGTAAGGCCTGGGGGCCCTGCCACACCCCCACCTGCCTTCCTAGTGCAACCTGGGTAAGGGATGGAGCAGGAAGAAAGGAGGAAGGAGGGGAAGGACTTGTGGCCTGGACCCTGTCACCGCCCCGAAGCTCAATTCCTGTGCCTCCTGGCAGGCTGTTCGACGTCGGGGGCCAGCGGTCTGAGCGCAAGAAGTGGATCCACTGCTTCGAGGACGTCACCGCCATCATCTTCTGCGTGGCGCTCAGCGGCTACGACCAGGTGCTCCACGAAGACGAGACCACGGTGAGTGGCCGCCGCCCCCACCCGCAGGCAGGCAGCTCTGCACAGTGCACTCGAGTACCGTCCTGGCTCAGTGCGGCCTGGTGAGGACCTAGCCGAGAAGGCACCGGTGCCGCGGGCAGGCTGGTCTCAAACGTTGCCAGGTTTGGATTTGGAGCCGTGAGCAAGCTGCAGCGTCCCAGCAGCCACCGGGTCAGGGCAGGGCCAGGCAGGCCTGGGAGCAATGGGAGTGTGGCCAGGCCAGGCTGCTGGGGGCACAGGAAGGGCGCGCTGTCTGGATCATCTGTGTGCCGCGCTGCGCCCCAGCTCATTCGTGCAACCTGTAAAATGGGGCTTCGTGACGGTGCTTACCTCGCGGGGCTCTTGGCCAATGGGAGAATCCCGGGAGTTCTCGGAGCCGCATGTGGCCCGAAGCGCTGCGTCTGTGGTGTTCGTGTCAGTCGCCCGCCAGGTTAGCCAGGCCTTGGGGTGCGCCCACGTGCCTGTTGGGAGCGGGTTACCCCGAGGGTGTGCGCCGCCCCAGCCTGGGCTGTCGTAAAGCGTGGGGAGCGTGCTCGCCCTATGAAAACGCCGTCGGGGAGTGAGAGCCACGGGTCGCTGTGCCTAGGGCCTTGGGCCGATGGGTGGTCTGGCAGAGGCAGGAGAGACCCCACCCCAGGCCAGCTCGTCTGGAGCTTCCTGTCTCGGAGCCCCTGGGTACCCTACCTCCGAGCTTTGCTGCCCAGAGGAGGTGCCAGGGGCCTGGGCACACGGCTCTGCCTGGTAGCTCTGTCTTTGGACTCTGTGTCTGACCCCGTGGGTGCTGCCACCCTGTGCCGTGCTCAACCACGCCCGCTGACCTCACGGAAAATTCCATAGGAATGGCCCCAGACCCTCTGCTGCTCCGTGGGGGGCAGACATGAGGCCTGGGCCCTGGTCTGAGCGCGGGAAGCCAGGTACTGCTGTCACGCTCAGCAGTGCTCCTGAGCCGGCCGGTTGAGGTGCCCCCAAGCCTTGGGGGCCGGGAGAGCCGTAGCTGGCTCAGAGCCACAGCGGGGTGCAGGGGCTCCAGCGGGTGACCTATGAGCAGGCCCAGGACTGTGTGTGGCACCAGGCATCAGTCCACCCACTGCTGCCCCGCCTCTCCCTCACCTGTCTGCTCCTCCTCTCCTCATCCTGTGCCTGCCCCCAGTGCCTTTCTCCCACCAGCACAAACGCTCGTTCAGGATGCTTCCATCCCCCAGGGCACCCCCGCAGCTCTTCTGGGGACTGGCGGTGGCTTCACTCCCAGTGGCAGCCCCGGGCAGCTCCTACCAGGCTACTGCAGAAGGGAGAGGCCCGGGGCAGTGCTGGGGCTCCCGTGGGCCTGGTCCAGGGTCTAATGTGCGCATGGGCATCAGCGAGCCCTGCCCCCTGCTCGGTAAATGGTGACAGTGGGACATACTCCCTGGGGCCAGGGCCAGTGGCATGAGTCCTGCCTGTCATGGGCCTGCACTCAGACCGTGGCCACTCAGTCAGTACTGGCTCGGGGGCAAGTTGTAGGCTGTGGACTCTGCCACCATGCCCCAGGGAGGCCAGGGCAGGCACTGGTGACCCTGTCTGTCCTGGCCCTCAGTGCCCAAGGCGGTCAGCCCCCAAGCCAGGGGGAGAGTAGAAGTGGCGGGAGCTGCCCAAGAGGAGCATGTCTGCTGGCCGCTCCTCAGACTAGGCCGCCCCAGCCAGCCACCCTGTCTGCCGCCCCGGGACTCCGAGGGCCTCACCTGTCCTCGCACCTGCTCTCAGCACCACCCAAGCCTTGGGCCCGTGCCTCCCAGCAGCCCTGGGCCTCAGCCTGCCACACCTTCTCCTCCACCACTTCCGCCAGCGCCACCAGCAGGGCCTAAAACCAAGGCCAAAACCCTGAGCAGATTCTGAGAGACCCTACGAGCCCGGCAGGTATGAAGCGCCCCCACCCCCATGGAAACCACGGCTATGAGTTGAAAGCAGCAGGTCCTCGGGCACCACGGGGTGACTTTGCTGTGACAGCTGGCCCGGCCACCCTACCACCCCACTGCCTGCACTCCTCACCAGCCAATGGCCCAGGCTTGCCTGCCCCGCCCCCATCACCAGCCCACACAGGGGCTGCCCAGGGCCACAGAGGAACCCATTTCTGGTCCTCCTTCCTCTCGCTCTCTGCTGGGTGCTTACACCCACCCACCCACCACCCCACCCACTCTCGGTCTGCATCTGCTGTGCTGTTTCCTTTGGGTCTCTGGCCCATCTCCTGAGAAGCAGCCCCCAACCAGCTTGCCTAGAGCCCCAGCCCAGCCGGCCGACCACACTCAAACCACAGCAAGACCACCCCCCAATGCTGTCCCCCCGGGTGTCTGCTTCCAACTCAAGATTAACTCGAGGGCCTCTGTCCTCAGTTAATGTTTCCCCGCTGAATGCGTGCCCCTCCTGACCCCGCCAGGTGGGCAAAGCCCATGAGTCCTAAGGAGGTCTGCATGCCCCGGGGTCCAGGATAGATGTGCTGGGTGGTGGTCTCAGCCCACCCTGTGTGCATGGTGCATGTCCTCTCTGGGGCTGGACACCCCCAGCCCCTCACTGCCCCTGTCCAGGGTCAGCTCTCTGGGCCAGAGGGGCAGCTCCTACCCGGACCCCAGAGCCCCTACCCCTGCCTGCGTGTGGAATGAAGCAGGGGCTGCACCCTGTCCGTCCTGGTCTCCCCGTGGTGCGTCAGCGCGTGGGTGGACCTGCCCTCTGCTTATCCCTTGTGTCTTGCCTGTGGTGGGTCGGGACCAGGGCTCTGCCGGCCCTCACGCACCTCTCCGCTCTGTTGCAGAACCGCATGCATGAGTCCCTGAAGCTCTTCGACAGCATCTGCAACAACAAATGGTTCACGGACACGGCCATCATCCTGTTCCTTAACAAGAAGGACATCTTCGAAGAGAAGATCCAGAAGTCCCCGCTAACCCTCTGCTTTCCGGAGTACACAGGTAGGAGCTCCCAGAGGGTTCAGCTCAGGCCTCTGGCAGCAGCCCTGCTGCGACACCGGCTCGGCCACAGATCCCCGGGCCCCAGGCCTAAGGACATGCTCCGTCCAGCCAGGCTCTGCAAGAGCTGTGGTTCCTCAGACGCACAAGGGCAGGCCTCTCCCCCAGGTGGGCCCCCTCAGGCTTCAGCCAGCATGGAAGTCCACCAACTTAGCCCCTGCCCCTGCCTTCAGACTCTCCACAGCCTGTGCTTGGGCCCCGATGCCTGGAAGCTGAGAGGCTTCTTGGTCAATCGGAGAACCCTGTCCTTCCGCTCCTCCCCATGCCAGCTGCTTGTTCCTGGACACCCCAGGAAGCACAGCACTATGGCAAACCCAGAGGGAGGCAGCACGGCCATGAGCCACCACGGCCATGAGCCACACCCTCATGCCTGCCAGTGAGCTCAAGTGGCGGTGGGGCTCGAGACTAGGGGGAGAAGGGGGAGGGGACGGAGGCTGACTCAGCCTGCTGACAGGCATGCCTAGCCCCAGCCCACCAGAGGTGGTACCTCCTAGAGTAGCAGTTCTCAACCTGTGGGTCTCCACCCCTCTGGGGGGTCCAACGGCCCTTTCACAGGGGTTTCCCCTTGCCCCCCTCGATGTGCTGCTGGCTTCCTCTTCCCACCCCGGCTCCTCGAACCACACATGCTGCCAGCGCCTGGTGGCACGTCACGGGTTCCGCGGGGCCAGCCCTGCCCTGATGGCTGCCCTGGTTCCTCCACAGGCCCCAGTACCTTCACAGAAGCCGTGGCTCACATCCAGGCCCAGTACGAGAGCAAGAACAAGTCGGCCCACAAGGAGGTCTACACCCACGTCACCTGCGCCACAGACACCAATAACATCCAGTTTGTCTTTGACGCCGTGACCGACGTCATCATCGCCAAAAACCTGCGGGGCTGCGGACTCTACTGAGGGGTCCCTCGGCCTCGCAGGCTGCTCCTAGCATTCACAGGGAGAGCTCAGGGGCTGCCACAGGGTGGGGTCGGGGGCACTTGCCCCACCCAAGCCCTCGACCCAACCGCCTCCTCGTCAGGCCTGGGCCACTGCCCAGGCTTCAGAGAATATGGTCAAAGGGGCTGGGCTGGGAGGCTGCTGGTGCCAGGGCCCGGGCCTGAGCGCCTGCCTCTGCTGCACCACCGTCTCAGGGTCCTACCTGGACGTGTGGGTGTCGGCCATGTCCACCTGCGGCCCTCCCTGCTCTCAGTCCCCCATTGTTTCTGTGGTCATGTTCACCTGGCTCTCCGACCAGGGGTGCTGGCCGTGGGGACATTGGGGAGCCATGGGGTGCCTTTCCTGGGGTCTGGCCACAGCAGCTCCGCCACCAAACTCCCGGTGGACCCAGGCCACCTGTGTGTGGGGCGAGGGCCCTGCCTCGAGTCCTGCCCCCTTGGATCTCAGCCCTCTGGGCTACTCTTCCCTGCCTTCTGAGACTGGTTTGTGACAAAAGCAAGTGGTAGATGGTG